AAGTTAAAATAATAGACATTAAATATTTTATTAGTAGAAAAAAAAAATAATATGATCATCATATTATTTTTTTTTTTTGCTTTTCTATGAAACCTTTTTACTATTGTTTGATTCTGTCATTACATTTCAAAATATATTTTGTAAACTTTTTTTATAATTGTTAAAAACAAAATTTCTCTTTTTTCATTCTATTGTTTATAGTTTTGATAGGAATATCTAAAATATCTACATATTTGATTTCTTATAGTCATATATACTAGCAGTAAGATTAAATCTAAAAACCTATTGCAGATTTGAAGTAAATGTTATAATAAACATTAAGATTAATCACAAAACAAAAATTCAATTTTTTTTTGTAAGAGTTATGCTTCTGTATAAGAACATACATCAATTAGTTAAATTCCCATACTGAGAATTTTGTTTAGAATAAAGCAATGAAATAAAATAGGTTAAATATGAGTCAAAACTGTACAACATTTATTAATGTCCATTTCAGAGTTAAATGGCCGTGGGCATTTTTTGAATAACTTTTGATAGGAACGAGATAGAAATCTCCGATTTTCCCCGTTGGAAAGAACAGATGAAGTCGCATCGAACTATAAAGATTTTTTTTTAACTATTTTCCTATAGATTTAGTCAAAAGTTTTCAAAGAATTGCTTTTTTCTCCTATCTTAAAAAAGTGGCTTTTCTATCAAAATACGACAAAAATTTCCATTTTTCGATTATTTTGTTGAAAAAAAAATGAGGTGGTAAATTATGTTCCGATGGTTTACATATCATACTGGTAGTAGTTAGGAACAGCGTCTTGATATAGTTTTGTAGCTCTTCCTTTGGCCATTCTAGAGCACTCTTGAAAATCAACAAGTTGATATCATGACCATGAGAAGCATGCTGTTTTTCTTGAAGTTTTATATAAAACCTATAGGAAAGTAGTTAGAAAAATCTTTCTATATATAATTCGATGCGTCTTCATCTGCTCTTTCCAACGGTGAAAACCGGAGATCTTTAATTCGTTCCTATCAAAAGTTATTCAAAAAATGTTCACGTTCATTTAACTCTGAAATGGACATTAGTTACATGTAATAATAATAATGTCGTAGTTGATGGTTTCTTCTATTGTATACTTTTTATTGTTGTTTATCGAATAACAAAGAAGATATATCTTTAGTAAAAACTATCGTATATCGAACTTCTCAACTATTATTATAATTAGTTGTACGGATTCGTCTAAGGTTAAACAATAAGATATACCAACTATAGTTTTGATGATGAACATAAGAAGAGAAGAAAAAAAAATTCTCGGTTAGAATTAAAGATCATTATTAAACGGAGAATGTTATATTCTTACGGTAGGCTTGTAATTCAATATCGTAATTCCCTTTTTCCTGTTAAGTTACTTCTAATTTTAGCAATTCTTTTTTTTTTAAATGTAAATTTATCATTCCTAGAAAAAAATTGATATTTGATATCAAAATTATAGTAAAAAATTCTTTATAGAAGATCTTTGCTTCATTCTTATTATCTTCTAATGATACTAAAATACTGATAAATATATGTTGACTTGCATACTTTTGAGATAAAACATTCACTTTTATTCTCAGATATATTCTAACAAATATAATAATATTAATTTATCATTTCTTAAATATGAGAAAGACTAATTTTTTTTTTGTATTTTGAAACTTTTCATAGAGAATAGAAATATTTAATTAATTCAATTCTATATTTTATTAGAAGCTGAAGAATTATCAAAAAAATTTATGGAACAAAATATTGAATTACAACATGAAATTGAAACATTTCGTTCTAAACTTGATTATATTGTAACATATATTAATCAAAAATTGGATCAACAAAAAACAACAACAACAACAACATTATCATCTTTATCTATACATCAATTAGTATTTGAAACTATGCAACAAACAGAAATGAAATTACTTGAATTTAAATTAAAATTTATTTCACAACAAGAAGAAAATGATCTTTTAAAATATTTAGTATGTATTATTAAAATTTAAAAACAAAAAAAAAGTAAAATTTAATTTAAATAATATTAGATCGAAAAATGACAAAATATATCAGATATTGAACAAACAAAATTATTTTCTATTATTCAACAACGTTCACTTGAACGTGAAATTGATCTTGTTCGTAAAGAACTTGAAATTACAGAGAAAAAAAACTATTCAATTTGAACAAACAGTATAATTGCATTCTTTTTTTGGATTGATATTTAAAATATTCATAATTTTTTAGTTTGATAATTCAGATGAAGGAATTAAATTTCATATGGAAAATCTTAAATTAAAATGTGATGTATTACATAAACATATTCTAACATGTAGTCAACGATTAGGTGATATTAATAAACAAAATCTTATGAAATTAACAAATAAAAATCAAATATTAAAGTATAGACACAAACAAAAAATATTCGAATTTTATTTTTCCTATGATTTTTTTTTTCGTATAGAATTAGAACTCAACATGAAGAATCAAATATTGATGTATGATGAATAAATTTCTTTTAATAAATTTCTTTATATAAATATATTTTATATTAGAATAAAAATATTGAACTTGAATTTGAATTATTACGTTTACGTGAACGTTATAGTGAATTAATTGAACATACAAATACACTTAAATCTGAATTAAATAATGCACAAAAACAATTACATGAACAAGAAAAAGTAAATATTAACTTATGAATATTACTAATTTTCTTAATACTTAAATATCTTATTATATTTGTATAGAAACTAAGTAAAAATATATCCTAAAATAGATCGAATAAAACAATTAATCGATGATTAACAACTAGGTATCGGTGGGATCATCTTTTCTTTTTTTGGTCCTGGTTTCAATTTAAAACTTTTTATTGTTTCTAGAAAAAAAAACGACTTTTCTTATAATCTGTATGATTTTTTGAATATATATAAAATGAATATTGATGATTTTGAGAAATTAACAATCCTAGGTCGAAGATTCCAGTCACCGGATCCTGTAGGAAAGATGCGGAAAAATTCACCGTATCCTGCACGAAAACACTGAAAGTCGCCGGAATAGGGTGGCAGTATTCCGGCCGGAAAAGTTTTGGATTTTTCCGGACAATTTTCTGAAGAAAACGGGAGGAATTTAATCGGAAGTCACCGAAAAGTGTCCGGCCGGAATACTGCCACCCTGTTCCAATAACTTCCAGTGTTTTTCTGCCGGAACCCACTCGTACTTCTCGACCTGGGCATAAATAAATAAAAAAGGCCTATCTGTAGATTATTAGTCAGAACAGAATAATAAATATGGAAATAGGTAGTCTAGTTCTGGAACAGAAAACATTAGGGACCAGTTTGCAGATCTCTATTAGCAACAGTAATTATATCATGTAATCGCACAAAGATTACATTTACAGATTTCTTTTATCAAATTTAAAGTAAAAAAAAAAAGTCAAGGTAATCATTTTGATCGGAAATGTTATTGCTAAAAAGTTCTTATCATAAGTGGTTCCCATATTGTAATAAAAAAAAAAAAAAAACTCCTGAAAGTGCCGATGGCGCAAGACGCCATCATATTGAATGCCGCCGACATACGTAAAATCACTCTCACAATTCATTACAATGAATACCGACTTAATATTATTTAATAAACAAAAAATGAAAACATTCCTAAAGCAAAACGTCTCAAATTTGAGTACCATTAGAACTCTTCAGAAGTGCTCAGTTTCTATTTTCGTCTTTCTAACAATTAATTAATTGCACGTTCTTTTTTTTTTAATCAGAGATAAATCAGTTCGTGTTGCACATGATTTAATGTCATAAGCTATTAATATAAAAAATATCGACAAGATATTATATCAAATACTGTTGTTGTTATGTAAAATTGTTTTTTTTTATCTAATTAGTCAATATTGTTTATCATAGTATCATTTATGTTACTCACATTATGGAAATTGTATGTTATTATTCATGTCATAATGAGAAAATTTTATCGTATATATATATATATATATATAGCCATGATTTATTTTCTGTCAAGAACAAATTATTTTTTTGTTTAAAATTTTATTTGTTTTAATTAATATATTTATTAATAAATATAGATTGAACCAAATTTAAATGTTGATTTGGAAAAAGAACGACGACGTGCAGATGAATTTGAAAATGATTATAAATCTTTAAAAATAAAATATGATGATGTATGTGAACGTATTCGTATAGCTACACATCAATTAGAACATGTACAAATTGTACTTGAAGAAACATCACGTCGTTGTGAACAATTAGAAAAAGAAAAGGTAAAGAAAAACAATACAAAAAATAATAATAATAATAATAATAATAATTTCATTCTCTTACATATCGCGTACATATTATTCTATGATTCGACTAGTTCAGCTACGGAAAAAATTGGTATTAATACATATGATTTATTATTGCTTCTCCTTTTTTTTCTCTTCGTGTTTTTCTATTCACTATTAAATTTCTTAGATAAAATATTTCCATAAGCACATTTTTCTGCATTTTTTTTTTCTTTTATCTTATATATAATACTCCTCTAGACTGAGACGATGAATCCAACATAATTATTTATATATAGATTAAAATAATTTTTTATTGTCATTTGCTTTTTGTTCTAGTCCGAAATTAATGCTCAATCTGAATATCTTTCACAAAATGTTTTTAATGTAACATCAAAATATAAAGATAAATTAAATACAATTAAAGTTCGTTTGTAAGTCTTTATTTAGAATCCCAAAAAAAAAAAGAACAAGATTAAAGAAATTTTGATTATTATTATTATAGAGAACAAGCAGAACGTGAAAGACGTGAAGTACAACTTCGTAATGAAAAATTTCAAAATGATAGATAACCGTTTGATGTAAAAAAGTTTGATATGGTTTCATCATGTCAATTTAATTACTTTTTGAATTGTTAAATAAAACGACTGCTGGTTCAATATCTGCTCCGTCAATAATTCCATTACGTGTTGGATATACACAAAAATTTTCCATTGATACAAATACATTGATTGAAATACGTAGTGATACAAATGATGTTGATATTTATTATACATTAGATGGTTCAAAACCAGATGCATTTATAACATTAGCAACATGACGTTCGACTATACAATATAAAAAAAAACCATTTTATATACCAAGAGATATAGCTAATACAGGCAAAGTAACAATTAAAGCTATAGCTGTATCACGGTAAAGATATTTGAGAAAACAAAAAAAATCAATTTGAAGAATTTTTATTTTTTTTATTAAAATTTATTTCGTGATGGAATTCGAGAAAGTGTTATAGTAACAAAAATATTTGATATTAAAATTATTCCATCAGATCATTCATTATCGGATGAATATGAAAATCGATATTTATATGAATTACAACAAGAACGAAAGGTAAAAAATTTCAAAATGATAGATAATAAATAAATTCAATAGAAATTTACTTATCTCATGTTTA